ACTTTTTCCTAAGAGGTGGACATATGTCACAAGAATAAAAATGACCTTTTCCGAATAGGCATAACATGACAAGCGACAAATTTCGAATAGATATAGCATGACAAGTGACAAAATTTATTCCAAATAGATACAGCATGATAAGTGACAAAATTTAAGATATCATGTGTAGGGTAAAAATATCAAAATATATCCTAAAATGGCAAAAAGCCATATCAAGATAAAAGTAGAGATATTTGTAGGAATTCTTGCCATTTCCCTTTCTAGGAACTCACATTTTTTTATTTTCTAGGTATTCATCTAGAGGTTTATCCTATTTTAAAATTACATAGATAGCTGCAATAATTTTTGGATATTCCTTTTCTTAGGAAACCTAGAGATATCCAATTTTTTAGGAACTTAGGTAAGATGTATCATGCAGCTGTTTTCCCGGCCTTATTATATATATCTATACATACATGATATATATAATTTAGATGGAGATTTTTAGTAATCCCATAATTTAGATATTTTCCATTTTTTTAGGAACTTAAGTTAGATGTATTATTAGTTTTTTTTCCCTAAAGTTAAAATTTAGATAGAGATTCAGTAGTGCCATTTAAACAGAATGTATGTCTGTAAAACTTGGAGAAGGGAAGAAAATATAGCTTATACATGAGGTCTGGGAATGCCTCTCTAAAGCTCTCACATTAATAATTTTTTTCCCCTTTGGATTGTCTTTTCTCAAGCACGAATGCACTTTGGTGCAACGGCTTTCGCGCTGGTCATTGCTTGTTGCTTTTGAGCTAAAGTTTGCTACTAGCTTTCGTGCTGGTCATTGCTTGTTGCTTTTTTGAGTTAAAGTTTGCCGGATGAAGCCCTGAGACCGGTGCATCAATAATTACTTTAGTTTTTTTATTTTTTCTCATAATTACTTTAGTTTTTTTATTTTTTCTCATGCCTCTTTTTAATCATCTTTAAATTAAAAAACCTCTTTACGCAATCGTGATTTTATTCATGATTTCATATTTCGTTTTATTTCTTATTTTTTATTATGTTTTCAATGTGAACTAATAAGCAGCTACTTTGAATAAGAACATGCAGAGCAAACTTTCAAAATTTATGTATAATCCTATAAGAAATGCGATGTTCTACTATGCTTGAAAGCAGTCAGATAGAAGTGTTAATTTTTAAGAATTGTTTTTTGTTAATTATTCAGTTTAAGATATTGATTTGGAAATATGGATATATTAGGCCAAAATATATGAGTTGTTTTAGTTGCCGCTCTTTCCCTTCAATAAAACCTAAAGAGTAAGAACTGAGTAAATTTCAGTAACAATTCGACAATTCTCTGTAGGAAAGTCACCCTACAATATCCATAGAAAAAATTTAGAAAAATAACCAAAATTTCAGTAAAATCCCATAGAAAATAGAGAGCTTAAAATCCAAGGACATACTTTGGAAAATACCCATAAATTCAACAGCCTAATATTCTAGAAAAAAACGTTAGAAAAATTATTAAAAATCCCTTAAGCTAGGAGCAAACCAATTCCTTAGACTGGGAAATCATAAACTAAAACCCTAGAGGATCCAACCTTAAACCAAATCTCTACAAATTCCCACTAAAATACACTGCAAATCTTCAAAAACCCCTTTCAAGCCAATTATTAAAAGAGAAGGCACATAAGTGTAAAGGCCTGATATGGAACTTGAGGTTTTGCATGTCTGGGGCCAATCGATCTAGGTTCATCTAAGTTTTTCTTTATTCTTCTTTAATTTTATTTTAGTTAATAGACTGTATACAATGAGACCATTTATCTTTTGTACAGAGAAGTCACAATTACTTGCAACCATCTAGCTTAGGTGCATGAAAAAGCTCCAAAAAATTTATTTTGAACTTTAAGCTTGGTCAATGAAATAAATGCGGCCACTCAATTTCATATCCAATTGTCAAGATTAATTGTGACCACCTTATGCAAAAGGAAAATAATCTTATTATATACTTTCTCTTTAGTTAATTTGTAATCTTTTTATTATTTTTTTCTTGTTTCCTTTTTTATTCTTATTTTTCTCTTTGTTTTGTGCAATTTCAAGCAAGAATAGGGAGGATTGATCTTTGGCGATCAAGATCTGCATTTGAACTATACTTTGATGGACCCCACCTATCACTGCCGTAGAGGGTTTCATCCGAAATTCTCCCAAATTCTGGCGGTAAACATTAATATTTAAAAGTAGTCTACGTATTTCATATTTTACGATTAAGTATTTTTAATTTTATCTATTTTTTATACATCACAGTAAACTCAAAATTAGTCATATTTGTACCATCATGCACCTATAAAAAGTATTAAAACTTTAAAATGCATAAATTTACAAAATCACTCTCATAGTATTCAAGGGTAGCTTGGTGATTTTATTTATATTAAGTTATTTTTAGGGATTATATAGTTGGAGGCCATTTACTTTTGGTACATAGAGGTAACAATTATTTTTAGACACTAGATGTGAAATCTAACCCATTGAAATGTATCATACCATTCAAGAAAAGAATTGTGAACTTTGTGATCAATCAATAACAAACCTTCAACCCACTCGATTTTACATTTAACAATCAATAATAATTGTTACTTATTTGTATTAAAAAGTAAATGGTTTCATTTTATACATTTGTTTTTCTCAAATATCTAATTTTTTAAAAAAATCATACCAGAATTTTGACCGGTCAAATGGGTCAATATGTGTGCATCTGTGGCTCACATGAGCAACATTCCATTTTGCTTGACATCGTTTCAATGTGGAATAATTTAGACTTGAATAAATGCTTTTCCCAATAAATTATTTTAACGTGAAAATTGGTTGAGATTGGATGAACTCATTTTTACAATTCAAAATGGAGGAGAATTCATTTTGATACATTGGAGTAGACCGAACAATAAGGTAACAATCTCTTTACTATGTCAAAATTTAATTATATAATATCGTTATATAAAATTTAATTAAATTGTATATTTATATTTGAGAAGATGGTAAAGAAAAATGTTTTGGAGATAATTTATGAAATTATTTAAATCAACGATTTTAATGGATGATTATGCCATATCTATACTATATATATGGATGTTTATGCCGAGATTAATTAAAGGTTGATACATGTCCGGACCCTATCTCCTGAGATGATGTAGGGCATGTAACCTTGAAATAAAGTAGTTTAGGGCATGATGTAGAATCTGTCTACCTTTTCAAAAAAACCAAATGCTACCTTTTTTGTATAGGAAGATAATTTCAGATGGGATAGAGAAAATGTATGTACTTTGAGAGATGTTAAAAGTATATCATGCATAGAATACCTATTACTAAAAATATATGAAAGTGGAAATAACATATTCTAATATATATTAGGCTATTCGTATCAAATATGTAATTCTTAAAAAAAATATTAAATTATGAGCAACATACGACCAATGAAAGATATTCCACTCAGGATATTATTATTTATGATAATATTTATTTAAAAAATATTAAATAAGTGAAATATTATTATTATAATAAATATAAAATAATGTTATATAATGGGAAAATTATCAAATTACTCATGATGTATACCCTATTTATTTTATATGAAAATTTTGTTGTTGGATCCCTACAAATATTTATCTTTCTAGCCACACAATCACTAATACACCTATCATGATCCCTAATACATGAGTAAAAGTAGGGATAAATAGTAAAGTAGGGATAAATAGCCATATTAGACTATAAACGGTAAAAGTGGAGATAAAAAGCAAAATAGGGATAAATAGCCATATCAGACTATAGACCTTTTTGATGATTCCAATCTGGAAAAATAATTGATAACTTGTACTTCTATCGTATCAATTATCATTTCAATTATCAACTTCTCCTATAATGATATCTATACTACCTAATATCGTCATGATATCGGTAAATTTCATTCTTTTAACTAGTTGAGAAATAATTTACAAATTTGATAAAACCTGGTGGACAAATTTTATAGGGAAAAACACTATTATCTCCCAAAAAAAAATCCCTAATTCGCCTATTGGAGCTTCTACTCCCACATTAATAAAGTCAACTTCCACTTAATAGACATTGGATATTTTATCTCTCAATGCAAATTTACGTGCAACCATGTAATCCACTAATTCATTTATGAGTTAAAGTCGATTAATAAAACATTTGAAAAACATTTGAACGTTTTTTTTGTTAATTGTTTGATACATATATTGTATGGAAGAAATCATGTGCAAATACCTTATATTTTATTTATTAAATTTTTTTACAAATTATAAAATTTACAATTTACAGTCATACCCAAAAGTTTGAAATTTTGTAGCATCCCCAAATAACTCTTCACACTCTCTATATGAAAATTATTGAATTTATTTATTTTTTTATATTGAAAATCTGAAAACATTTTGGGCCCATAGAGAAAGATTTTTTAGATTTTAACCATCCAATTTTTTAAAATTTTGGATATAAAAAATTCAAATATTTTGGGCCCAAACACAATATTTGAGAAGTGTTTAATTTTTAATCTTGAAGATCCAAAATATAGGCAAGTGTATTTTATTTGTATTTTTTTTTAAATAGTTATTAACATAACATCTCTGAAAAAAAAATAGGCAAAATTTAAATAAACTAAATTAGGGCAGATATTTGAATATTTTATCAAAAAAATTAAAATACGAAAAATAAGATAGCTAGGGACATTTTTTGAATTCCCAAATTCCGAAAAATACTTGAAATATTTGCTCAAATTTCCCGTAATATTATAAGAACTTCTCTCCTCTTTTCCAACAACAACTTCTCTCCTTTAGCTGAAGTATTTATTTTGAATTTTCCATATAATTATAACCGTTTATCTCCTCTAAGTCTTTATTTAAATTTCCTGCTCTCCTTTAGCTGAAGTATTTATTTTGAATTTCCCGTATAATTATAACCGTTTGTCTCATCTAATTATTTATTTAAATCTCATGTGTAATTATAAAGTTATCTTCTTCAAATCAGCTTCTCCTTTCTTTTCTCAACAACTTATCTCCCTGAAGTATTTATTTTGAATTTCGTCGTATAATTATAATGTTTCTTTCTTCCAAGTATTTATTTAAATTTATTGTGTAATTATAAAGTTTTTCTCTTCTTCAAATCAGCTTCTTCCTTCTTTTCTTTTATCATGGCGGAGTCAACTGTACTGCAATTTTCTCCTTTTCAAAGCCACGTCGAAGAAGGATTTTGGAAGAGATTGTCATCTCTCAAACTGAATACTCTTGGTCTGGATGAAACCCCTGTTAAAATCACAGGTAATTCTTTGATTGATTTCTTTCGGCTTTCATGATGTTATAAGAATCCTTGCGCATAATTTCTGTACTTTTATTAATGTTAACATTATCAAAACAAAATTTCTGTATATTTATTTTTTAAGATATTTTTCAGATTTTGTGACTGTTTACAATTCTCATTAGATTCAAAATTTTTAGGCTGAATTTGGTACTGAGCGCTAATTTCATTTCATCCCGTTTGAATTTTATATGCTTGCACATAACAACTGTAGTTTTTGTTCGAAGATTTTGTCACTGTCCAGAATGCTTCTCAAATTCAAAACTTCTATGTTGAGCTTAGTTTATTAGAACAGTTTCGATTCATCCTGTTCGATTCATTGTAAATAAATTCATAGTGGCATGTGTGATTGTTACGCTATTCGGTCTCAAACTTAGAATTAGTGAAAGAATTCCTCTTCTAGGTGAGATCCTGAGTATCTCTGTAGCGGATCCCAATTGCTACTAGTTTTAGGGAATAATAGAAGATATCAAGAAAAATGTAAAATAAACCCAAAGTTTGCTAAATCAGTATGTTAGGTCAGTGAAGGTTGGGAGTTACACTCTTCTTGGTTTTGCAGAGTCTTGGTGGTTTTTGCATCACTATTAACGATGTATTCTCCAGTTGTCTAAAATCATCTGGATTGGGCGATTAAATAGGGCCGAATTTCCCTGTTAAAGCCGGAACTGTTGGGGGGTGTTTGCTGCCTATGGAAGCCTGGAATCACCCAATTTATCTGGTTTTAAGTTTTCTTTTTTGTTTTCCCGTTGTTTTCATACACCGATCAGAATCAGAAAATCCGATCCAGATTGGGTGAATAGGGAATTAGTCCCCCGGCGATCCAGGGTCCGACTTTAAAACAGTGGTATAAACTACAAAGTATTATTTTATTTCATATTTGCCTTAGGTATGTGAATGACGTTGGTCAGTCTATTTTTAACCAAGTGGTTTGCTCTAAAAAGCAAGAATCTCACTATTTACATGAGTAGTTATTGAATAGGTAGAAAATCCAGGCATTTCATTACAGTCATGAAAAATCATGTTACTGATTTTTTTTCTATACCAGCATCTTTGCAAAAACATTGGCATTTGCTTATATTCAATAACGTGGTCTTATTTGAAACCCAATTGGGGTTGCCTTGCCAAATTTGTTCACTTAGGTCATCTCATTTGGCCTTTTCAATTTGAGACTCATATGAGAATTGCATTTTAGTGTCCATAACTTGATAAATAATTTGTTATAAAGATTCCAAATTAGCAGGTTACACTTCCTCTTTATATCTGGGCATACTACAATCTCTGTTTCTTGGATATAACCAACACAATCCTCTTCATTCTACTTTGTGTTTGAGTGCATTATCCATGTGGAGCAACAATGTTATTGTTCCAGGGCTGTGTCCCTTTCTGTGAAGTTTCCGAGAATAAGTAGTGTTTGTAAGGATATGAGCCATTTATTCTGTAGGAGGTGCTTTGTCTTGATTAGAGTGCAGTGTCTTTGATTAGAAGGCATTGTCTAAAGCGAGAGGGCATTGTCTAAAGGTAGAATTTAGTCACTTTTTGTTTACCCTGTATATGATGCATGTTGTGGCTGCAGAAACAGTTAAAACATCAGCTTTTATGAATGTGCATATGTTTGTAAAGTATACAAAATGGATTTGGAACCTATTTGGAATTATTGGAGCATCATATCTGGTAAATATGCTTTCACCTTTTGTTGGTGTTTTCATGTGTATCATCTACAATGAAGGACAATATGTCCCAAACTTTGTGCATTCATCATGGGATTTGGTTGCCATAGAAAATATTGGAGGTTTTTATGTCAATCTGTTAGCTTCGCGTTGCAATCCAGTATGGTATTCTTGATCATGATAAGTCTCGAAGAAGCAATATCCAGCTTTTTAATGATGCGTGTAAAGTGGATGGCATACGAGTGTATTATCTTGCATAGTTCTAGTCTTAATCCCCTACGATATACGGTTTTCTTTATGATCTATAGGTGCCCATCACTTGGTGAAATGATCCTCATAAGAGTAGGAGTATATTTTCAAATTAAGTGTAACCAAAGTGGCCTAAGATAACATGCAAGAGAACTGAACATCTCCCTGTTTTCCTTTCATTATGAAAAATGAATTGTTCTTTTGATATGAAAGATGCCATGATTGTCATGTCGTGCTGCTTCACTTGTTTCCAGTCTTTGTGGCCTTTATTTCACAAGGCAAGGGCTTGTGATGGGCAAAATAATGCTTTTCAACATTGAATATGTTGTGCTATCTATTTTCTCTAGATCTATGATGCATGTTTCTTAGGGTACATAGATTTTCCTCCTAAGATGTGAAAATTGCTTGTTGGACAGGTTTTTATGGACCATGTTCTCATGCTCAAGTTTCAAGCCATTTGTATCTACTCGATGAATCCCTACCAGCAAATTTAGCGGAAGAGTCCTCATCATCAGAAATGGTTCTAGGGAATAGGAATCGCTGTCCTATACCTGGGACCCTCTATAACACAAATACACTGGAGAGCTTCCGTGGCCTTGATAAGCAAAGCTTGATAAGAAAAGAAGCAAAGAAGGTATTTGAAAACCATACACTATTCATTTCTCTCTCTAAACTTTCTTTTTTGTTGGTTGCTGATTTTGAAAGTTCGTTGCTCGCAGTATCTATGCGTGCCTTTTATTTGTCTACACTCTTACTCATGCATCTCTTGCTGGGCATCACGTAGATACTAAGTTTATCTAAGTAGGGATTATTCACTAACTTGCTGGGAGTCCCTTAGATACTAATTTTGTCAAAGTAGGGATTCGTCACTAATAATTATGAAGTACTTGTCATGTTCATTGGCCTTTAGATATGGGAGGAGATTTGTTCTGGAAGAGTGGAAGCAGCCTGTGCAGTACTTTCTAGGTTTCTGGTGATCTCATATGCTGATTTGAAGAAGTGGACATTTCATTACTGGTTTGCATTCCCTGCTTTAGTTCTCAATCCTTCCGCCTTAGTCAGCAAGTTGCAACCAGCTTCAGAATGGTTCAATCTAGAAGAGGTAAGGAAAATCAAAACCTTGTCTCAGTCTACAATCTAAATTTTTTTTTGGGCATTGATTCAATGCATTTTAAGAAACTCATGAAGTTTAGATGGATTATATCCAATTTCATGCATTAACAGGGAAAATCTCTGTCTGAAGCATGCAATGAGTGGCGCAAGTCAAGCTTAACTGCAGGTTAACTCTTATATCAGCAGCATTCAGAGAACTCTTTGTTTTATTCATTCTATTTGACAGTTAATTTGGTTTGCTTCTGAAATGTATAGTCACTTGATGTAATGCAGCAGTACCATTCTTTTTGGTTATTATAACCGCCGATTCACATGTCACTCTCAGGCCATTGAAAGATTGGGAAACTTGCCAGCGTGATGGACATAAGGTAAGTGGTATTGATCATGTTAGGTGGTGGATTTAACTTTGTCAAATGGAACAACAAAGATTTCAATGCCCATAAAAAGTTTTATGATTTACTGATAAATGTACTTCTATTAAAGCTGAATTTTTAATAGAATTACATCCCTAAGTCTGTAAACTTTGTTTAACTTTCTATACCTGAGTAGCTATAAAATTTTTTGCAGTTGTTATTTGGTTTTTATGACCCATGCCATCTTCCAAGCAACCCTGGTTGGCCTCTTCGCAATTTCCTTGCCTTTATCTGTTCAAGATGCAAGATTGAAAAGATTCAATTTTTATGCTATCGAGAGAGACATGGTTTAGCAGATTTGACACACTCCCTTGTTGGTGAAGCTTTGGTTTCAATCTCACAAGGTACACAGACAAGAAATGGGCAAAAGTCTTTCGTCCAGTTGCATGTATATGATTGTTTTTAATAGATTACAGTGCCTTCTTTTAAAAATCAGCTTTGACTACAAAGTCTTCTTATTCTTTTTCAGAGTGGAAGAATCCTCAATTTATTCCTGAGGCAGTGGGTTGGGAGAGAAATGGATCAAAGTTGGCACCAAGACGCATTGATCTTGCTACTTCCATGGACCCGATTAGGTAGGTATATCATATGTATATCATTTTCTACGTCATTATTCACAACTTGTAAAAGTGATCAATCACCTGTTCCCAGGTTAGCCATGTCTGCAGCAGATTTGAATTTGAAACTCATGAGATGGAGAGCTTTGCCATCTCTGAACTTAGACAAACTCTCAGCTACCAAGTGTCTTCTCTTGGGAGCTGGTACCCTAGGATGCCAAGTAGCACGCATGCTTATGGTCAGTATCCTCACAGTACATCCAATATGACATTTCTTTGGTTATTGATTGATTCATCTCATTATCTCCTTTAATAGGCTTGGGGTATCAAAAAAATCACGCTGGTTGATAATGGACGAGTTTCTATGTCGAATCCATTGAGGCAGTCTCTTTATACTTTGGAGGATTGCCTCAATGGTGGTGATTGGAAGGCTGATGCAGCAGTGAGAAGCCTAAAGAGTATATTTCCTGGTGTGGTAATTTCTTGTCTCTCTATCTAGCCATGGTAACTAAGTCCGATTGGTTGTGATCACATCAAAATTGTTTGTGATTTTCAGGAGGCAGAAGGTTTCACTTTTGCCATCCCAATGCCAGGGCATCCTGTGCAAGCCAAAGAGACAGCCGGTGTGCTTGAGGATTGTAGACGCCTTCAAAATCTGATTTCTTCCCATGATGTTATATTTCTTTTGACCGATACCAGAGAGAGTCGTTGGCTTCCAACACTTCTGTGTACAAATGCTAACAAGGTGGGTTATCATATCTTACCTGTCCAATTAGTCCTTCCAGAATGGGAAGCTTGGAAACTGAGTGAACGATTTATAAGGGACTTATGCAGAACTTTTTTCTGGGGTGATTAGTTGTAAACAATGATTATGTTGATGTAATGTCTCTCTGTATGCGTGCTGACTAAGGTCCCAAGTATTTCGCCCCGTTGTGCTTTGGCCCCAAAAAGTAAATATGATGTGATAGCCAAAAATAGCTGCAATTTCAGATGTTCAACCTAGACATTCAGCCTGCAAGGTTGGATCTCTAGTCATTATAATTAAGTGTTGAAAAAGAAGTCAAGCTTCCACTGGATATATAT